AGTGTGTGTGTTCAGTGTTATTACAGGGCGTTGCATGTGTTCGAGTAATTATGCATTGCGTTACAAAACAAGGTAATTTATACAACGTCTTATACATTTATACAGTATTTAGGTAGGAAGAGACTAAGGTTTGAGGGAAGGTATCTTTGTATAAGGGGCAGGAAAGGAAACGTTTATTTACAGTAAAACGTTCCACGAGTGCAGCGGAGTTGAAAAGCGTATATGGATACTCCTTTGTGGGTTTTGCTTTGAGGATAGTTATCAGCCAGTTTTTGCTGTGTTGATTGGTAGTTTTCTGTATGCCTTTCCTTCGGTTGTTGGATGTCAGATATTACTTTGGAAATGAGTTTCGTAATCTCCCCCCCCCCCCTCCCTCATCCTAATATCTTTGTCATAGTGTGTCATTCTAAAATTAAGGGAGAGGGGATATATATACTTCAGAGAGCATGAAGGATAGGTGGTACTCTAAAAAAAGACCGTATACACCCATGTGTATGAAGGAGAAAAGTAAATAACTTTGTTCCACGAAAACCAAAGGGGTTCTGTTGACCACCATATTGAAAGCACTGCTATATTTCATGAAAAGCACCATCGATTTCAATGAGTGAACGTCAAACAGGCAGGTCCTGTATTTTATCTGTTTACTATAGCCTAGCCCAAGTGAGAATCAATACAGCCGGCACTGATATATACTTAACCGTGTAAGTTCAACGAGACAGGGTGATGCCAGTTCTAGTCTCTTGCAGGGGCTATGTTTGCCAACAAATACTGGCTGCATACTTGCACTGGAAATCAGCATTTCTAACAATGCGTTCGAAATGTGTGCAGGGGTGCTGAAGCTGATTATTAACTTTAATGGTTTCACAGACACGTTGTCTCTGTGTGACTTTCTGAATAAGTAATTCCGCTGTCCGCGCCATTACAGCGGCAAAGTGTTAGTTTTTCTCGAGAGTTGGGTGGGGGAAAAAGAGGGGAAAAAGGGGAAAAAAATGGGGGGGGGGGTGGTGGTAGGATAGTGTAGTATTGGAAGAGAGACAAAGAAATAGAGAAAGATCTCTCTCTCTCTCTCTCTCTCTCTGTCTCTCTCTCTCTCTCTCTCTCTCTCTCTCTATATATATATATATATATATATATATATATATATATATATATATATTTAGAGAGAGAGAGAGAGAGAGAGAGAGAGAGAGAGAGAGAGAGAGAGAGACAGAAAGAGACAGAGACAGAGATAACACACACATACTCGGTGAGTACGACCGAACAAACGAACGAACAACCTTTCTTTCGAAGGGTTACAAATTGGGCACGCAGGCCTGTCTTACACTCGGCCCTTCCTTCCACTTAACAGTTGTATTTGATTAAAAAAGCATGTTATGACATTAACAAAAATAATATGCATTTTATGAATACCAAGAGAAAAAACAAAAGTATGTGGTGTAAAATGCATGGGTAAACTCGTGCACGAACAACCACACGCACACACGCATTCACTTGAACATCTATATATACACACACCCACATACATAATATATACGCACACCCACATACATAATATGTACGCACACCCACATACATAATATGTACGCACACCCACATACATAATATATACGCACACCCACATACATAATATATACGCACACCCACATACATAATATATACGCACACCCACATACATAATATATACGCACACCCACATACATAATATATACGCACACCCACATACATAATATATACGCACACCCACATACATAATATATACGCACACCCACATACATAATATATACGCACACCCACATACATAATATATACGCACACCCACATACATAATATATACACACACCCACATACATAATATATACACACACCCACATACATAATATATAAACACCCACATATACAATATATACACATACCCACATATACAAAATATACACATACCCACATACACAATATATACACACACCCACATACACAATATATACACACACCCACATACACAATATATACACACACCCACATACACAATATATACACACCCCCTCCATCCCCCACCCCACCCCCCACATACAACCTTTGGAAATACATACATACATACATACATACATACATACATACATACATACATACATACATACATACATACATACATACATACATACATACATACATACATACATACATACATACATACATTTATACATAAATACATACACTTAGTCATCCATGCATACAGGTACACACAGAGACAAACATACATACACACACCGACAAGAACACACATACACATATACACACAGAGACACCCACACACAGACACAGACCCGCACACACAGACAGACATACACAAACATACATACACGTAGGCAGGCACGCAGAGGCACACACATACACGGACACATATTCACACACATACACCGACAGACATACACACAGGCGCCCACACACAGACACACACATCGACATACATAGACATATACAACCAAACACGTAGACGCAAACACAGAGATGCATACAGAGATCCACACAGACACATACATACGTACATATAAACATAGTACTTACTTACAGGCAGACCGACAGACACACACATCGACATACATAGACACATACACCCAAACACATAGACGAAAACACAGAGATACATACAGAGATCCACACACATACATACGTACATTCAAACATACTACTTACTTACAGACAGACCGACAGGCAGGCAGACAGAGAGACAGACTTTTTTTTAGTATCCAGAAGCCATGCGTTGTTAACCCTTAGGCTCGGTATCATGGATATCGCAACCCTTCGGCCTTGATTCCATGATAAATACCGTAAATCTGAGAGAAATGTGGCTTTTCTGCCTACCCCACAAGGAGTCCGTTACCCGTCACCGCGCGGTCCGGTTTAGCCAACTACGCTAGAGAGCCGGACAGATACAGACAGATATAGACAGACAGATAGACAGATACAGACAGATACAGACAGATACAGACAGATACAGACAGATACAGACAGATACAGACAGACAGATACAGACAGACAGATACAGACAGACAGATACAGACAGACAGATACAGACAGACAGATACAGACAGACAGATACAGACAGACAGATACAGACAGACAGATACAGACAGACAGATACAGACAGACAGATACAGTACATCGACAGATACAGACAAGACAGATACAGACAGGACAGATACAGACAGATACAGGGACAGATACAGACAGATACAGACAGATACACGACTCGACAGATACAGACAGGACAGATACAGACAGATACAGACAGATACAGATACAGACAGATACAGACAGACAAGACAGACTCGACGCAGACCAGACAGACAGACAGGACAGACAGACAGACAGACAGACAGATCGACAGGGACAGACAGACAGACAGACAGACAGACAGACAGACAGACAGGACAGGACAGACGACAGACAGACAGACAGACAGACAGACAGACAGACAGACAGACAGACAGAACAGACCGACAGAACAGACAGACAAGGACAGACACGACAGACAGACAGACAGACAGACAGACAAGATCAGACAGACAGACAGACAGACAGACAGACAGACAGACAGACAGATAGATAGATAGATAGATAGGTAGATTGATATATAGATAGATAGATATATAGATAGATAGATAGATGAGATAGATAGATAGATAGATAGATAGATAGATAAGCTTTAGATAGATAGATTAGATAGATAGAGTAGATAGATAGATAGGATAGATAGCAAGATAAGATAGATAGATAGATAGATATGATAGATAGATAGAGAAGGAGAAACATAAAACATAGAGGAAATACTTCACTACATTGGGTCTATATTTTTCAGCAGTGCACCTGTTTCTTTCCCCTCTTTGTATCTGAATGAGATTCAACAGGTCTGACTTTAAAAAAAAATGATCAAAAACTTTGCTCATGCCTTCTCCCAGGATATTCTTAGAAGTGTGACATTATCTGGTCTGTTTGGGTTTTGTTATGATAGCACTTCTCCGAACTTAAAAAACAAAACATCTAACGATTTTGCAAACAATTCTTTTACAAATGAGAGAGATGAACAAAAGAAGAGCTTTCTCCGTGACTTACTTTGAAGCATACAAGTTCTAACACACGAGTCGTATTCCAATCAAAGGTTGTATACTAAACAAAAATTGTTGCGACTGAAAAGGACGTATACAAAGTTGGACGTATACCTTAGCTGTCTAGACGTATATCTGAGGCATCACTGTAGATTGGGGCAAACATTGCTAGACGGTGAGCAACAGCTAGATAATAACAAACAGCTACATAATGATCAACAAAGAATGTCTTGGTGTACCTACCTAAAGGAAATGATAAGATGAAGCCGGTGTTGACCTCTGATTTCTGCTGGATCCTGTTTTCCAGCTCCACGTTGACTTGATCGCTAGTTATAGGGGTTGGTGTGTTGGGTGCTACAGTTCTTGTAGGTTCTTTGCCGTCATCAGGAACTTGAGGTGGTGGATTGGGGCTTGTCAAAGCATCTGACTCGGTATTGAGCTGAACCCCAAGTGAATGAAGCCAGGTTGGCGCGCTATTTTCAGCCGCACTGTTTTGTAGGGAGTTCTTAAAGGTTGAAACATCTTCAGGTGTCTTGTGCGACTCAGCATCATCTTCCTTTTTAAGGTTGGCTGGGTTATTTAAGTCCTTTTTGACAGATGGTTTATGATTGAGATGTTCTGAGCTGGAACTGACCTCCTGACTGCTTTCGTGGCTGTTAACGTTCTTCTTTACTTCAGACGAACCAAGGACGCGTCCTTTGGAGGATTTTGACGACTTTTTAATGTGATTCTTTCTTATGGTTACTGGTAGCACAGTTGTCTCTTTGGGTTTTCGTTCAGTGGTATTATCCTCGTCATCTTCCTCATCTAAATCATCTTCATCCTCATATTCATCGTCCTCCTCATCAATTTCATCTGAATCATAGTAATCATCAACATTCTCTTCAGGCTCATCATTTACAACACTGTCACTACTGTGAAATCCTTCGATGTTGCTAATCTAGTGTCTTTCTTGTTGTCTTTATTTTCTTCATTTTTATCATCGTAATAATCAAAAGCTGAGTTGTCCCAGTCATCCCAGTCCTTAAATTGACTGTTTGATTTCTTTGTTGTTGCTTCTTCTTGCTTTCTGGTTGTTGACTTGGGCATACTCTCAACGACTGCAGAATTGACAGAACCAGCATGTGGTACGGGAAGTCTCGCCCCTTTGCCGTATATAGCATTTGTATCTTTAAAACGGTGATTATGATTTTTCATGTCTTGTTGGACATTTCTCTGACTACTGAAATCAGAGTAGGCGGAATCCCAAATCTTTCCCCCATAGCTCTCTCCACTAGACCTATAATAGTTTCCAGGGTCAGGTTCTGCAAACGTATTCACCTCTCCTTTCTTAAATGTTGGCTGGCCGGAATCTGAGTCTGCAATAACCGTGCTGGATGAAACTGCGGGTGGGGCAGTCTGAGATGTATTGGAGGCTGTCTGCTCGTTTTGTGAAAATGGTTTAGTTGAATCTGTTGATGGCAAGGATGTTGATGACACGTCTTCATACTTCCCTGTTAGACTTTCTGGAGATTTTTGGCTCCACAAATCGTCATCCAGTGTTCCTTCCCACCATCGTATGGTGCTCGAATCTTTCTGCAACGAGAATAAATATTTATATAAAAATATATACATGTGTGTGTGTGTGTGTGTGTGTGTGTGTGTGTGTGTGTGTGTGTGTGTGGTTTTAAAAAGAATTTTCGATTGTTTAAACTGTTTTGACATGTATGAGCAAGAACTATGGACAATTATTTAAAATTTATTTAATAGGTTAGAAAACAGTTATTGACTATAAAACTATTTTGTGACCTATGATTAAGAACTATGGAAACTTAACTGTTATGTGAGAGTTCGGGGCTTGTCCTTGATAAGATGATGGAAGCTTTTTTTTCCCTGTTGGGACAAAAATATAGATCCAAACCTGGACCCTTCGTGGAGAAACTATGAAAAACTGTCATTACTGCATGGGGGGGGGGGGGGGGATCTGGGGGGTCTTTCTGCCTGAGGATTTAGAATCGCATGGCTGGTGCTCTCACCCCAGACTGTGCAGTTTAGGATTTTATTTTTGCCCCGACATTTAAACAAATCTTATCTTACCAAGGATTTGAACCAGGGTCTCCCCCCACCCCACAAGAGCCCTGCACTCTTAATCGTTTGGCCAACCGCTCCTCTTATAAAAAAAAAAGTAAAGATCCCTTTTCACGCCTTAGGCGCATCGGGCATATGGGAAGAGCACCCATATTTTTACAAACCAATCGGCACTAAGTAAGTAATTTGGTCAGCATTACGCCGGCCATCTTTACTTCCCCAGGACATACATACATCATGGTACCAATTTTAGGCTGGGTCGACCTGCGACACCCTATACCGTGATAAAATCCACACAGCCAGCAGTGGGTTTCAATCGCGGTACGTTAGATTCATGAGTCGGACTAGCAACGCCAAGGCCACGGACGCCGCTCCTCCTTTGCCTACTTTTAATCCACAGAATAGGGTTCCCAGTGACTCACACTGCATCAACAAGTGATAAACACGGGAGGTACACTCAGACGCCATTGAGGTATCAGAGGTGTTTTTGTTTTGTTTATAGTAAATAAATAAATAAATACATATGAACATTCATGGATCGACCAAGCAGCTTATTTGCTATGTGAATTCTCATCTCACGTCAAGGAAGATTATTCTTTATGTTAATTCTCATCTCACTTCAAGGAAGATTATTCACTATGTTAGTTCTCATCTCATATAAAGCCAGATTACTCACTATGTTAGTTCTAATCTTATTTCAAGTCATTTTATTTACTATGTTAGATCTCATCTCATTTCAAGCCAGATTATTCACTATGTTAATTCTCATCTCAAGTCAAGCCAGATTACTCAGTATGTTAGTTATCTCATAAAAAGCCAAATAATTCACTAGGTTAGTTATAATCTCATATCAAGCCAGATTATTCGTTATGTTATATCTCATCTCATATAAAGCCAAAATCTTCACTATTTTAGGTCTCATCTCACATAAAGCCAGATTATTCACTATGTTAGTTCTCATCTCACGTCAAGCCAGATTATTCACTTTGCTAGTTCTTATCTCAATTCAAGCTAGATACTTGTGTTAGTTTTCATCGAATATTAAGCCAGATTATTTACTTTGTTCGTTCTCATTTCACAATAAGCCAGATTAATCACTATGTTAGTTCTTATCTCACGTCAAGCCAGATTTTTCACTATGGTCTTATCTCATATCAAGCCAGATCATTCACTGTGTTAGTTCTCATCCAGTAGCAGGTCAGGTTATTCAGTCTGTTAGCACTCCGTGTTTTCTGGACCTTATCTGTGGGCGGAGAAGAATAGACCAACTGCCCCCAAACAAGCATGTCCTAGAAGGCTACTAATTAGGGATGTTTTCTTCGAAGGCGAAGTGCATCTGCCTGAGATGCGAAGAACTAACAGTCTGCATACAGTTACGCTAGATATTTAAAACGGATGTGCATGAAAAACTAAACTTCTGGAACAAGACTAAAGTCCAGAAGTGGGCGAACAACCAAAACTTTCGTCCGGAGATTACAGCTGGTGAATGCTGAGAAAAGAGGAGAAATCCGTAAGATAAAATGTCAGCCATGTGTTTCCTGAATCCCATTATGGAGGCAAAAGGAAAACATATAATGTCAGCCGTGTGGTTCCTGCGTCCCATTCTGGAGGCAACAGGAAAACAAAAAGCTACCTAAAATGCATGTTGTAAAATTCGACTTATCAAGATTTTTCCTTAGTAGAATGTATTGGGCCGAAAGCATAACAGCTGCCTAGCTGAAAGTTTTTGAGGTTTGAGGTTTGAACAGCAGATCAACATTATGGCACACGGGTAGTAACCTATAAGTGCTTCGTTTGTCTTCCACCTCAAGTCTGAGCCTGAAAAAGCTCAGAACATTGCACAGGCTCTGTAGCATCGGCGAGGGTTTTGAAATACCTTGTGTAGATTTTTAACTTCAAATGTTTGCCCGGGTAGCGCCGTTAGGCTACTCTTTTCGATTTCCAACTGCCAAGGGATTTTCTACGTGCGCAACAATGCACACGGGCATCCGATCTCACTACCAAGACCAGGGGAATTACTAGAAGTCTAAGTCCAAGTGAAAAAATCACAGCTCACACCGTGGATTGAACCCGGAACCTCTAATGGCGGACACCATGCCTCGAGACCTCGCAGACCCACTGCTTAGCTGAAGAAGAATAACTAAAAAAAAAAAAAAAAGATAAAGATATGTCATGTTGGTTATTCAGGCTCATGTTATATCAAGCCCTGTTAACCAATGAGCACTTTGTTTTGCCATCTTATAACTGGGGCTTCAAAACTTTGTTTTTAATGTCGATCCCGCCATGTTATTTATTCGGCTGTTTAAGCCCTGTCGTGTCCAATTATTAGATCTGTTTTTTTTGTGTGGGTCGAGCCATTACATGACAAATTATACAGTATGAAAAAAATAAAAAAAGCTCAAAACTTCTGGGCATGTCATTTATCCATTACAGATTTGTTTACTAACATAACTAAAACAATTAGAATGATTGGCATGTTAAATTGTACAATGTATTTTTGTGTCTAAATTCACAACGTAAAATGTTGTTTTGACAGGACAAGATTAAAACAGGACAAGAGCATGAAAGTTATCGTGAAATCATTACTAGTATTACATAAACTAACCTATATTATTTTATGATGTTATTTTAAGGCGTATAATGTACTCTAATATGACAGAAACAAATAGCAGACTCCAATCATAGAACTATCGTTGAAACATATACAAATTGATTTCAATAACAGGGACCCAGACTGTGGTTAAAAACTCCGTTACCTTTACGGGAGCAGCAAAAACAAGTAGGATTAACAAGCTAGTGCTCACAGTTCATATCATCGATTCATTTGTTTACATATATAATGTTACTTAAAATGTTCATAAACATTTTTTTTTGCCTTAACACCTTAACTACGTCTGATACTCGGAGGACCTCCTATGGGTGACTTGTCTCAGAAAGCATCAACGATACTGGTTTTGCATTTAATTTGTCATTTTACATTTTTGGACTATTTAGTGTTGTTTGGTTAGTTGCGTATTTCTTACAGGACGTTGCAGAACCAACTCAGGCATTTTTATGGCCCGTTTAAGGTTTTAATTGAGAATTTAACGTTCTGTAACTTGTTGTTGCCTTAAGAACGGTCAGTGCTCCATTGCATTGTTGAAAATAACGCAAAGCGGTCCGGTGCCAAATCACCTGTAACGTGTTACTGGTGCCATAAATTGCATTTGCTTTATGAGATTTCCTATGTTCTTAGTAATTCCTATTTTCTGGTGAATTCCCATAACCCGTAATTTACGACAAATAGCGATCTGGCAGTTATAAGAATTCACGAAGTGCCATACTGATACACAGCAACAACAAAAATACTCACAGCAGGCTCGAATGCTCTCCATTTATCTTTGTCATCATTAGGCTTCCATAAATCAGCAACGTCCTGCCACTCGGTTGACCATTCCGACGCATCCGACTGGGGAAAAAAATATATTGAACGTATAAAGTTACAAATTAAAGTGTTGCACAGGCATGAATATGGTCGCAGTGGCGTTGACCGCTAGACGCCCGCCTACGGATCGGAAGGTCGTGGGTTCGCGTCCTGATGGAGCTGGACTTTTTCAAAAATGACCTTGACTCCTAGGTCGACCCAGCCTTGAGTGGGTATTAGGTGCAGTCCTGGGAAGTCAAGGAAGCCGAAGTGATGCTGACCACATCACCCACCAAGTCTAGCCCTACATTCCTAACACGCCCAAAGGCGTGGAAAAGGGACCTTACCTTTTTCAGGCATGAATATCGTCGTCGTCGTCATCTCATCACAATCTTCATCATCATCATCATCACCATTACTGCCCTGCTGTGCCATTATACGTCACATAGGGCTCACAGTTTATACTTTATTACGTTCAATCCTTTCAATTCTTTTTGATATCAGGGGCTGAATCCAGTCTTTTACTTTTCTCAATAACGATTCGTCCAAGCCGTCCTCACTGTTTCCATCCAAATGTTTCTCATTTCAGCGACTGCCTGGTGATGATCTGTGTCTTGTTCCTTTTGATGTGCTAGATATACTACACCTTCTTTGTATTATAATTAAGAGTACAAGCGGCTGTTCAGATATTTCTTCACTTTTCTTCAGATATTTGTTCACTTTTCTTCAGATATTTCTTTACTTTTCTTTAGATATTTGTTTACTTTTCTTTAGATATTTTTTAAACTTTTCTTCAGATACTTCTTTACTTTTCTTCGGTTATTTGTTTACTTTTCTTCAGATATTTCTTAACTTTTCTTCAGATATTTCTTAACTTTTCTTCACTCATTTCTTCACTTTTCTTCAGATATTTGTTTACTTTTCTTCAGATATTTCTTCACTTTTATTCAAATATTTCTTCACTTTTCTTCAGATATTTGTTTACTTTTCTTTAGATATTTTTTTCAACTTTTCTTCAGATATTTATTCACCTTTCTTCAGATATTTGCTTACTTTTCTTCAGATATTTCTTCCCTTTTCTTCAGATATTTCTTAACTTTTCTTCAGATATTTCTTCCCTTTTCTTCAGATATTTCTTCACTTTTCTTCAGACATTTCTTCACTTTTCTTCAGTTTATCCTTAAAAAAAAAAAAAAAAATTGTTTGGGTATTTTTCAAAAGCATTTAAGCTTCGTTAGTGGTTTTCTGGTATTTACTGGAAAATGTTAAAAGTGAAATAATGTTAACATAAAAAGAAAAAAACGTGATTTTAAAACTATGTAATTAGTAAAGTAAAGGAAAGAGAAGAAGGACGTAAAGCACGAAGTAGACCAAGAACAAGATGGAAGGATAACGTCAGAGAAACTCTACAACAGCACGATGTACCTATGGTCGAGGCAGCCAGAAGAGCTAGAAACAGAACCTCATATCTCCCTCGACACCCACAGCGGTAAAAGAGGAAGTGAAGAGGAAGAAAAGAAGGACCCTGCCCACATCTTCAGGCGTATTGGGCATTTATGGCTAGACCAATATTTTATAGACTAACCCACATTCGGTGGGTGATGCGGTCAGTGTCACGTTGGACACCTTGACTTCACAGGACTGTACGTGGCACAACTAAAACAGTTACTAAGAAACTTCAAACATTTATTAACTTCTCCCTGTGGAGAAACAGGAAATACTTAGTATGATAGAATCACTAATGTAGAGCTTTGGAAGAGAACAAAACAAGTTCAAGTAGACCATTAGGTGAAGTAAAACGCTGGCTTTGGAAAGGACACACGATGAGAAAACCTGAGACCACAATAACTAGAATGTCTCTACACTGGAACACATAGGCGCATAGAAAAAAAAAAGGCAAAGAAAGACACACGCAGAAGAGAGCTAAAGAGTGAAAAAAGATGATGAGGACATGGGGTGGGTGAGCTGTATGAAATGGTCAGGGAGAGAACTAGATGGTTGGAGTTGGTTAAGGGCATATTCTCCATTTTTTGGGGTGGGATTTTGGGGGGGGGGGGGTTGGGTGGGTGGGTTAAAAGCACAAGAGGAAAGAGATGCAATATTAAATAAGAGTCTATTATATGCTGCAAACAAGAACATAAGGTTATTCACAAACAATAATAAAAGATAAGGTAAAAAAAACAACTTGATTGATTTCGGCGTTCATATAGAATACATTTGCAGCAGTGGACAATAAAATACATTCATAACATAAACAGAATAAGAGATATTCAAAATGGCCACAAGGCGAGATGGATATGAGTGAACGGAAGAATGCTGACATTTTATTTGATAGCAGAAATATGTTATCAAAATGTGTTGAATAAGTCTTAGACATACATACAATCATCAAGAATAAGCTGTTGCCATTTTATGATCACAATATGAGAAGGCCGATACTACAACATGTGATAATCGGAAACAATATGCACATATTGTGTGAGTGTGTGTGTGTGTGTGTGTGTGTGTGTGGTGTGTGTGTCTGTGTGTGTCTGTTCTTCGAAAACAAGAGAAGGCGCTTGACAGCCTGTTGCAATGTCGTGGAATTGACAGCCTGTTGCAATGTCGTGGAATTGACAGCCTGTTGCAATGTCGTGGAATTGACAGCCTGTTGCAATGTCGTGGAATTGACAGCCTGTTGCAATGTCGTGGAATTGACAGCCTGTTGCAATGTCGTGGAATTGACAGCCTGTTGCAATGTCGTGGAATTGACAGCCTGTTGCAATGTCGTGGAATTGACAACCTGTTGCAATGTCGTGGAATTGACTATGTAATTTACCCCTGTTCAACGCCAGCATTTTTACCTCACATAAATCTGTTAGCATTAAATATACTACCAAATGGTTTAGGAGAAGGAACCGCCATAACTGAAATATGGAACCTTCAATCTTACTCTCGAACCAAAAATACTCAAGTTCAGCTGTCTCGTTTCCATGCCAAAAAACCCTAAATTATAATTAACGATTGAAGGCAATTTAATTATGAACTTCATTCTTCTGTTTTTGACCTGCCCTGTTCTGTATTTCAGCGTCGAGTTATGATGAAATTCTTTGCAAAATCAATGCGGAATTTTGTTTAGGGGAATGGATTAAAATGTGATAGGAGTGACATCTTGAAAAGAACTTGCTTCACGATCACGATGTGAATTTTTAACAAAGAAGAGCAAGTCAGCATTTATTGTCCAAAACAAAGGGCAGTTTTGAACAAAGTAAGCACAAAGAATATTTTGCACGATTACTGTCTGGCATATTTCGATGTCTCTCGACAGGTGCCTTATTTAAAAAAAAAAAAAAAATTTAAATATATAAGGAAGCCAAAGTCTTTTAAATGAAAAACAGAATCAACTACACTCGAAAAAAGACAAACACATTTTCATGCTATGTCTTTTTGTCTGCACAAATGCTGACGGAAACCTGTCTATCATTGTGGATTCCTACATGTGTTCAGAACCTGTACAATACATTCGTTGGAACCTGAAAAATACATTCTTTTGGCGGTTTCTTCCTGCCACTCAATCGTGCATAGACGCGATGTTGTTACGCATTCAGGTGCGATCCCAGTTATTTTGGTTACACAATCTATTTACTTAGACTATAAAGCTACCAATCGCCCTCATAAAGTGCTGCCTAAAATATGCAATATCATTGTTTTTATTGTTAACAATTCGGTTGTACTTCAGGCCTTCTTGCTTCCCCTGAAACCATTGAGTGATTCATGCTAATGCTAATTCGCAGTTGCATTGTCCCATACAAATTACTGCATTTATTCGGATGTGGCGGAATTAACAAACACCCCATACTTGCTTAATTTAGACATTCAAACAGGGGCGTCAACACAAAAAGTACATTGCAGAGAGAAGCTCAGCTCATCCCTCTCCCACCCCCCCCCTTACCGCACCGCCCCCGACACCGTCCACTCTTTGAAGGGCCCACGGAACTCGAGCTCCCAAATTTCGAGCCCATAAACTCAACGAAAAAGCGATATTACCAATTCACTAAAGTTACGAGGGAAGTGGGCATTGTGGAATGTGATGTAGTATTCTGTAGAATGCGAGGTTAGAAAAGCGTATTTTGTCTGTCTATTAAAGAAGTTAAGCTGTCGCGGCATAGTTAGGACATGTGCTGATCAAAACAATGATCAGAGATCAATACTCTCTCCTTGCAGGATTGTACTTGTTCTGACTATCCAGATTTATGGTATCGACCCAGCCTCATGTAATGGATACTGTGGAAGGGGCGCAGAAATATGGGAGGATTACCACCTTGAGCTCCCCCCCCCACCCACCCACAAAAAAAGCAGACACCCCCTCAACCCACCATGGGCTTTTAAGTGTCCACATAATCACAGGCAATAGTAACCGCCGATCGCCTATCGGCTAGAAGCTTGCTTACGTGCTCCAAGGTCGTGAGTTTAAATCCTAATTAAAGTTTTTTTTCTTTCAAAAATAAACCTGGCTCTCATGGCGATCCAATCTAAAATTGGTGCCAGGCAAAATTCTGGGAAGTAAAGGTGGCCAACGTGACGAGCACATCACTTATCGAGTGCCGTTTGGTCTATAAAATATACGTCAAAAGGAGAAGAAAAGGGTACTTTATCGATTAATCCATCAGTTTGTCGCCTCCGAATCACTACCTAAACGCTTCCTGAGATTAAAAAAAAAAAAAAAATGTGTCCGTATAGTAGACCAACAAGGTAGACCCCAAATACCCCGCTTAACTTTTAAATAATTTATCGTTAGGGCAGCGGTAACAGATAAATCAACCAAGTGTAACCTGCAGTTCTATGCAGGCAACGACGAGGGTTATTTGCTCTTTATAATTTCCTCAAAACTTTATTTAAACAGAGGGAGCCGCTGTAGTGTAGCTAGACTCTCGTCTACAGATCCGAAGGTAGTGGGTTCAGATCTTGACGAAGCCAGACTTGTTTTTTCCCAAATTACCCTGGCTCCCACACGACGCAGCCATGAAAAAAACAGAGGAGAAGGAGGAGAACAGAGAACAGGTCTT